AAAAAAAAAAAAAAAAAAATAACATACTGTTATTTCAAAATAACCGAGAGTGAATCTCAAATGCCTCAGCACAAAAAATGTTAAGTATGTGAAGTGATGGACATGTTAATTAGCTTGATTTAATCATTTCACATTGTATGCATGTACCATAACATTATACTGTACCCCATAAATGTAATACAATTATGATTTGTCAATTAAAAATAATATTAATTAAAAAAAACACTACAATGAGATAATACATCATACCTACTAGGATGATTACTACCAAAAATCAGAAAACAGAGCTAGGCATGGTGGTGCGCACCTGTAGTCTCAGCTACTCAGGAGGCTGAGGCAGGAAGATCACTTGAGTCCAGGAGCCCTAGACTGTAGTATGCTATCATTATGCCTATGAATAGCCACTGCACTTCAGCCTGGGTAACATAGTGAGACCCCGTCTCTTAAAAATAACAACAAAAAATACCCAAAAAATAATAAGCATTGGTGATGACATGGAGAAACTGGAACCCTTGTACACTGTTGCTGGGAAGGCAAAACGATGCAGCTGCTATGGAAAGCAGTATAGCAATTCCTTAAAAATATAATTATCATGACCTAGCAATTCAATTTATGGGTATATATCCAAAAGAGTTGGAAGCAGAATCCCCAAGAGATATTTATTACACCTATGTTCATAGTGGCATTATTTGTAATAGCCAAAAGCATCTATGCACAGAAAAACCAATAAACAAAACGTGATGTGTACACACAATGGAATATTATTCAGCCTTAAAAAAGAAGGAAATCCTGACATATGCTACAATATGGATGAACTTTGGGGACATTATGATAAATGAAATAAACCAGTCACGAAAGGATTCAAACACTGAATTATTCTACTTACATGAATTACCTAGAACAATCAAATTCTTAGACATAGAAACTAAAATGTTGGTTTCCAGGGGCCGGGGAAAGAGGGGAATGGGTTATTATTTAATGGGTACAGAGTTTCAGATTTGGAAGATGATGGTGATAGCTGCACAACAATGTGAATGTACTCAATGTCACTTATGAATGATTAAAATGATAAAATTCATGTTGTGTGTATTTCAACATGGGTCTAATCAGGACCTGGCCCACTGCTGCACTACCTTGATACTGTTGCACGAGTTAATATTTCAACATGTTTTTTTAGTCCCAGTGTTGTGCATCGTGACCTGTTCCACACTTACTGCCAAGCTCCAGCCTCTTCCTCGCCCTTGGGGTGACAGGATGGGTAGAAGTATGGCGACATTTGGAGGCAGAGTGCCTTGATTCAATCCTTTTGACCACATGTTCTTCTGGGGTTCCAGAAGGGCTTTCTACACTCTTAGTCTTGGCTCCCCTGGGCTTCTGGCACTTGGGGCTGCCTTCTTGTAATTTATCCAGCTCCGCAAATAGTTCTGAGGAGAGCGGTCTGAACTTCTTTTCATTCCAGGATTCTTTCACAAAGAATATTTTCTCATCTTTCAGATCCATAGGTACCACTGCATCTGGGGCTAAAGCTACTACCTGAATTTAGAAAGTATAGGTAAATAAATAGAAGAGAGGAGGCCCAAAAGAGCCATGGAATATTCCCCCAGAGCTATGACTAAAAACCATTTAAGTTCATATCCGTACCTGGAATGTTACTTCCCCAATCTAAAGAGGCACGGACATGGCATAGCATGTTGACAGAAAACATATGAGAACAGTTAACATTTACTGAGTATTTATTAATTTAATCATTAATGGCTTTAAAGACATCAATGAAATATTGGAGTAAATTATTCGTTTCATTTTGTAAACATTTATTGGCTTCACCTCTTAATTCCTATTACCATCACCCTAGTTCAAGTACGTATCATCTCATTCCTAGATTATTCCCAGACTCCTCCTAGCTGATATCCATACCCTACATTGCTTTCTTTTTCAGTCCATTTTATCATCGATGCCAAATTTTCCCATAAAAACTTCTCTAAACACAGTCTCTTGTGTCATAGTCAATATGGCTCCCATTGTAGCAAGTTCAAATTACTCCGTCTAGTTTTTCAATGCCTTTTAAAATCTGGACCCATCTTACCTACAGAGTGCTCAGTACTCAAAATGGCCTTGACACAGTCCTGCTCATTCCCACTATCATGCTCCTGCCTAGATACCGCACCCCCTGACCTTTCCAAATCTCCTCATCCTGTTGGTTCAACTTCTGCATCTACCTTTCATTCCTTCACTCATTTAACTCAGAGATAAATTACTAGTCATGCCAGACCAACATCTCTCTGCCATACCATTAAACCCCACCTAATCACCACATAATCACAATTCATATCACCATCTAATCCCATTTTGGAGGCCTGAAGTATTAATAGTTCCAGGAAAAACCCATATATTTTAGTCTGCGAACCTGTGTCTCATTTCAGCCTACAAACCAGCAATGGGTGGTTAATGATAACACCCAATTTATTATAAAATCCAATCACATAAATTTGCCTGTAGCAACTAGCACTCTTTACACTGATTTACTCAAGGTGAAGCCCTCATTTAAGCCAGCACATTCAGCCTCATAATGCTTTATTATGCCTGCCCATCACAGCTAAATATAACTTCCCACTGAGAAACATTTGCTGAATTCCTGCTCATCCCTCAGGTCACAACCTAAATGTCACTTCCTCCAGGAGGCTCCTAACATGTTAGGTGCTCTCAATAAACATTGCTGAGATGAAGCAGGCAGGCAAGCAGAGAAAATGACAGGAAAAAATTCATTCCCATTGAGTAAATTAAAGCAAGTAATATTTCTGAGGTTAAGCAGTTTAGGAGGCAGATAGAAATAAGCTTCAAGATAGAACCAAGATCAAAGCACCACCTACCCGAATGGGGCCAATGATGGTTTCAGCATTGATGTTGTCGTTGCAGGCAGGGTAATCATACCAGAATATCTCCTGTGCAGCAGGCTTCCGGCCCAACAAATGCCGTTTACAGTCAGGGACTTCACAGAATCGGACAAACCACTGTACTCGTGCACGTTTCGTAGAGTGAGGGTCAGAATCTAGGAGGGATTAGGTGGAAAGGGGAAGGTTAAGAAAATGAGAACATTTCACTGAGTAGTCCCTAAGTGTCAGGCACTGTGCTATGAGGTCACATGTATGATCTTTAATCCTAATAACCTTCGAGGTAGATACTACGGCTATCCCCCTTTTACAGGCAAAGATATCAAGTGATAGGGGCCTTAAATAATTTGTCAAAGGTCACAGGACCAACCACGGCAATCTGACTCCAGTTTCCATTCATACTCTTTTTTTTTTTTTTT